GTTTGGCACCGCTTTGTTTGCCAAAAAGAGAAATGAGCTTTTTATATAGGGACACCCAGTATGGACGATGGAGTATTATAATACGGAGTAATACAGAATAGTGCTACATTATCTTTGTTTTGTTGCAATAACACTTCGAGTTTTACTTGTGATACTACGTACCTCCTTTCTTTATTACTTTTTTATCTAAGTTTTATTACGAAGATTAAGAAAAGTAGTATGAGAACATAATTAAAATAGAAAAAGTGTGAAAGAGGAAGCATAAAGGTGAGAAGAAAAGGTAAAAAAGGCGTAGCAATGAGAAGAATAAAAGTGATAAAATAAAAAAAATGGAAGACGCAAAATAGAGTTGAGTTTTCAAATATGATATTAAGGAGAAGTATATAAATCATAAACAACTTTCTCCACAATCCATGACTCAAGATTGGAAAAGAAGGTGGTGGGGTATTTGATTGGATAATAGTAAAAGTTATACTACCTCCGTCCCATTTATATTGTCCCGAAAGAGGATGACACAGTTATTAAGAAAATTGGGTTTGTGTGGTTGATATTAATTGATAAAGTAAGAATAAAGTAAGAATCATTTAGAGCCACACAAACTTTGCCAAATATAGTATATGACAATTTAAGTGGGACTTCCCGAAAAAGTAAAACAAGACAATATAAATGGGAGTGAGGGAGTATATATATATATATATTACAATTTCAAATTATATATATATATATATAATTTCAAAATACTATAAATTAATCTCAAATTACAATTTCAAATTATATATATATATATATATATATATATATAGAGAGAGAGAGAGAGAGTTTGGTTCAAATAAGAATATCATCTAATGAGAGAAATGAGAATACACCATAACCGTTGGATTTGTCAAGTTTAAGTACCGTTACGGCTTAACTTAAGGGACTAATATGACATTTCACTAATCTTCCTTATTTTGCTCGTCTGATTGCTTCTCCCACTTTTTTCGGTGCATTAACTATCTTCTTTATCCACTATGTAGGACATAATTATCTACACGACTTTTTAATTATTTATTTCTATCGTTCACGTATTAAAATTTATATTTTCCTTATGACTATAATACTTCGTTATATTACGTACATATTTTGATCTACTTAAAATTACTTCCTTTCATGGCTGTGTAACTTTATTTTATTTTAAATATTACTCCGTATATCTATGTAAACAATCTGTGCACTTTTAAATATCTTTACCATGCACTTTCAATATTTTTTTTGCAAATAATTATCATAATTAAATTTGTCAATATTTTATTATTGTAATTGTGCACCTTTGATATGCTTCATTCGATCTTAAATAAGTGAAATGGTCCACTTTTCACATTGTTGATACACAACTTTGACCATTAATATATATAGTTCTCTATTAGTAAAAAATTAATTAAAAAAAGCAGATTTGGAAAATTTGCAATGAGATAAATTTAACAATATTTAAAAAAAGAAAATTATTAATACATTAATAACTTAAAAATAGTCAAGGTAGAGAATCGAGAATGAATATGGACCGTTGGATTGTATTATATGAAACATAATTATGCGTTAGGTAAAACTGAAACGTGCATTAGATGAAATTGAAATGTGCAGATAAAAGGTTAAACTCAAATGTGCATTAGGTGAATTTGAAATGTGTAGAATAAAAGGTTAAACTCAAATGTGCATTAAGTGAAATTGAAATGTGCAGAATAAAAGGTTAAACTCAAATGTGCATTAGGTGAAATTGAAATGTGCAGAATAAAAGGTACAAAAATGACATCACATCGTACCATTTATTCTGCACATTTCGGTTTCATCTAATGCACATTTCAATTTCACCTAAAGCAAAATTCAACTTCACATAATGTCATTATATCTTACCCTTTGTGTTGCACATTTCAATTTCACATAATGCACATTTCAATTTCATCTAATTCGTACGTGTATGGAATTGCATACCTGTATGCTAAAGTGCAGTATAATGTTTAGAAAGTGCAAAATAATTGACATAGATGTGCAGTTTACAAAAGTGCATATTAATGTGATAAAATGATATTTCTCTTCACATTTGTTTTATTGATGAATGATGTTGATTATTTAAATTACTATTTTCGAAAATTCAAATATTTAATTAAAATGATGTTACATAAAATTTTGAATAAAAGTGCGACTATTTTGTACTTGAGTGTAAATTATGTGATATAACTTGTGCAGAGTGTTTTGAATAAAAGTGCATAGGTACAAAATTTTAATGCAAACCTTTTTGTGCAGAGTGTAAAGTATTTAGCTTAGAAAGAAGACGTGATTAATACAAAGAAATAAAAATTGATTTAAAAAAATGATTTCAATAACCAAATTGAAAAAAGTACGTATTTTGGGTATCACGTAAAGGAATTAGTTTCCCTAATCATTAGGAAACAAGCATGACATGTTTCCATAAAGTAATCGTGCTTTCCATCCACGACTTTGAGTCTTGTACAAAAATGCCCTTTAGTTATTAAACGTATACATTATTTCCTATTTTCCCTCCGACCGCGTGTGTTATAGCCGATCTTGACATTCCATTTAATCTTTGTTTTAAGCCGTGCGATTTATAACATGGTTGGTTGGATTTCGTTCTCATTTCTCTCCTAGGAGAGTGTTCTCACCTGAACCATTCCCTATATATATATAATTTGAAATTGTAATTTGAGATTAATTTATAGTATTTTTTTAAGACATGAGGAAGTGGCGCAATTATTAAAAAATGTAAATTATGCTATTGCTTTTGAATGTGTAAAGTATAAATAAAATCAAAATTATTTGAAACTACATAAATGTTATCAAACATTATACTCCGTATTAAACAAATTTAAAGAAATGAATGAAAATTGGAAAGTGGAGACAAACAAAAAGTTAAAATCCAATAAAAGGTAGAATATATGAATAATATATTGCTCCTAAAATGTTGCCACTTGGCATTTGCAACAAGTAAAAGATGGGAGAAAGTATCCGTTCTCTTTTAATTGCAACATTGGACTTTTTGCACTATTCACATATTCTATTTTGACTATATTGTATTAATTAATGTAATATAAATTAAATTTTCAAAAAATATTGTTAAATTCATTTCATTCTAAATTTTCAAAATATGAAATTTTTAAATTTTTTACTAATAAGGAATGAAAGATATCAATGGTCAAACTTGTGCGTTGGCAAACATGAAATATTGACTGTTGCAATTAAAAGGGAACGGAGGAAGTACTACTTGATCCCAAAAAATATTTTTTCTTATTCTTTAAGAGTATTTCACATCAACCAGGCTTGAGGTACACATTTTTGTACACACTTACACACTCGCGTCTGTGAAGTGTTTTGTTTTGGCTGTATACAGACACAACTTATTTCACAGACACTTCAAATGCATTGTGTCTGTATACAAACAAAAAAATACATCACAGACACGAGTGTGTAAATGTGTGTACAAAAAATGTGTAACAATAGTTTTTTCCGTTTCACATCATTTACACTATTAATAAGCATATCAAATCAAATCAAATCAAATTAGATTGTGGGAAGGGAGTATAGGAGATTGTTTTCAAAGCTCATCTCGTGCCCAAATGGCCAAAATCATTTTAAAATGGCCAAAATCATTTAAAAATATTGATGAATGTGTACTTCTTAGACGTTTATCTTCAAATGAATTAATAAAGTTTTAACCATTTTCTTATAATCAAATAGTTTTTATAAAGTTTTAACCATTTTGAATTAATGTGTACTTCTTAGACCTTTACCTTCAAATGAATTAGTAAAGTTTCAACCATTTTCTTAGACTTTAATTTATTAAAACTCTTTTCTAGAAAACATCAATTATAAAATCTAAGTTAATTTTTACTCCGTATTATATTGTAGAGCATAATAATTTAAATGTTGTCTATATAATTAAAATAGGTAGAGTTTTAGACTAATGAAAAAAAATCGCGCCTTGCACACAAATTTTGCATCCGTCCCTCACCAAATCCATTTACTTTTGTGCTTTAATTGAAAATAAATCACTCGATATAGCTTAAGAGTCTAAGACCTTGTTACTGTGCTGTTGTTGGAGTTCTTGTTAGCGGTGAATGATTGAATTTCTCAGGTTTGATTATAATTAGGTTGCAGGGACGAAATGAGCTTAACCCTGGAAATAAAAACTATTCCGGGTGGATTCCCGAAAGGTCAAATTGGTATAAGCTAAGCCTGGAAAGATGAATCTTTCTAACAGCAATTTCTGTGAGGTTTTGAAATATTTTGGGAAGCCAAAGTTTGATATCGAAATCTTTGAGGGAAACATCAGAACTGAGCAGGCCACCATTGAAAAACCTTGTAGAGGAAGAAGCTCTGAATTGACTAGTACTGCAATAGCTGGTGTTGTAATTGGGTTGATGACAAGGGAAGTAGTGTTAACTGTTAAGTATCATTACTGCTTATTTTCTTTCAGAGGAAGAAGAAGTTTTGGAGAGGGAAACTGATTTTGTATGCAGGAGAAGAGGGTCAGGGTTTGACACAGGAAGAAGTATAGGAAAAGAGTTACTTATAGGACTGCTTATATGTATAAGGCATCAAGGCATAGTTAGCTGGAGAGGATTGAGAATCTGATTCCTCTTAACTAGAGCATCATATCAAGGACAGGGAGGAGAAAAGCTTCTCATTTATGTCCATTTTTCTTAAGAAAACCCTCATGAGATCTTGCATAGTATGTATACTTTATGAAGTATTAGTGTATATGTTTTTAGATGTTTTACAATATATTTTCCCTTAATTTGTGTTTTAGGCATCTTTGTTTTAACACACATCTCCTTCACTCCTTGTGCATATTTGTGACTACATAAGTTGGTTAAAGAGATTACTCCAGAGAAGAACAAAAGGGAAGTGAGCTCATTGTGTTAGACTGTTAGGCTACTGGGCTGTAAAAGAACATCTCTAATTGCTACGATTCCAACATTAAAATCCTAATTCAAAATCAAATAGTGGTAGAAGTTAAATAGAAAATAACTTCAGAACAGGCTGGAAATCTATAATAACGTTTTGGGAACAGAGGGACCGGAGTACCTCATATAAGTTTACATTTACAGAAAGAAACAGAAAAACATGCTTATGAAGTAAATTTTACACAATAATGAATTAAATTGTAGTATATAAAAAGTTCATTTTCAAGAAAAATAAACATGTATAGAAAATTGAACTCTTAATGTTTCCTTTCCATGCTTCTTTTTAATACACTCCATCCATTGAACTTTGACTCAAATGCAGACAGAGTGAGGAAGGCTGGAAGGAGATAGATCCTTTCCCCATCAACCAAGAAGAAAATATCAGGATGTGTATGGTATGTACCTCAGGGTAATCTGCCACAGGTGTCCCTCTCAAGTTTCTAGTTGAAGAGATTTTGGAAAAATAACCCCTAAATTTTACTTACTATAAAGAATCAAATATGATCCGGTTAATTCTAGTCCTAAGATGATTTGGCTATATGATAGTGATGATGATGGTGGTGGTGTGTATATTGAATCGAACTTTAACATTGGCTGCCAGCACGGCAAGATAGGACACCAGCATCAGATGTAAGAGTGCCGACTAGGGTAGAAGGTTTGGCTGCCAAGCTGGAGGCCTTGGCGTAGCTACTCATGCCCGCGCTTCCAGATGGAATGAAATAAGCTCCATTCAGCATAAGGTCTCCTTCTGACCTCCAATTCCATTCCTTCCATGTGCTATTGGGTGTCCTCACTCTCTTTGTCACCTCTTTTGCAAAAGAGTCGGTTGGGGCTAGGAATCTGTTGCCTTGGCTGTTGATTGTGGGAGATGAACTCCCTCCTATGGCATACATCTCCCAATGTGTGTAGTCATTGTTCACCACGTGAAAGTAACCAAACCTACACCTGCTTAGCAACAATAGGTTCATTCATTAGACTTGCTTTCTAAGGAACCCAAAAATTAGAAGTTCATCCACCATTTGGTAGCTATTTAAATCTTATTTTACTTGTAATCAGACAGTAGTTTTTTGAGTTGATTGATTGGCTGAAATTGATGCTAATACACACTCTTGGATTAAAAAGTTGACCTCATTATTACATCTCAGCATTTCGCCCATGTAAACTTTTCCATACAGTCCCTAAATGAGACTTATCCCTAACTCAAATATGGTATTCCATTACGAGCAGCTTACCATGCTTGTCTCAATCTGAGATGTCTAGTCATAATCCGACGATTGAGTTCCAAACGAAGCAACTAAGCGAAGTCCTCACTTGGCTGCTTATTGGATCTCAACCATCTGATTTCAATTAGACAGATCTCAATTTGACATTTTTACCTTGGCATTCTTTGAATCAGCCCCTCTCCAAAATGGTTGTACGCAACTGTGACCTGCATAATCTTGTCTCTAGAGTAAGAGTCACTGTGGCCCAATAACATGACCTGCATGGTAGTAGATTGTTACAATTAGTTTTTTGTGCAAGTAGTCTTTTTATTAATGCTCGCAATGTTACACTCTCCCAGTCTCCCATGAGGATATTTACCCACATATAATCAGTCAGCCATAAAGACATTGAAAACCTAAAGTTAATTCTTAGGTTTTAAGATTTAGATTCATACACTATGAAGGCATGTAGTTTCGTCATAACAGGTTAACTTTAGGAGTCAACCAATCTTGCAGTTTGTAGGAGTAGCCCAAAGTGGGAGCAGACCATGTTTTTCATCCTTGGTCATATTGAGTTGCTAGTTTGAGCCTATTGGTATCGGATACTCTATTGTCACTTGAAGTTTTACTCTAGAAGTTAAAATGGCGCAATAGTAGCCGATGCCTTAACATGCTCTATCTTATATATGTTGTTGAGATTATTTAAATTTAAATCCAACTATAGGTCCCTCACTTAACCACTCTAAGGGAATTAAGAGTGTAATAAAGAAATCACACCTCATTGTGGTGGGTGAAGTAATTGTTTGAGATGGTGATGGCTGTTGATCCCATAATAGCATCAATGAGCCCATCAGCACAGTTAGACATGGAGTTATGGTCAATCCAGATATGGCTAGCATCAAAAATAGAAATCCCGTCACCATCAGCCATCGTCCTCCAACCATAATGAGTAGGTGAGCTCCGGACCATGGCATTCCCGGTGGGCTTGCAGTCATGAATGTGAAGGCCATGGATGATAATGTTGGTCACAAATTGAATTGTAATGCAAGCACCATTAGCTATGTGAACGTTGACCCCACGGGCGTCTATCGTCTTAAAACTGTTCATGATCAGCTCTTCCTTGAGGGTGATGACCATGTCTCTTTGGAACACTATCCATAAAGGCTCAACTTGGATGACCGCATACCTTAAGGTCCCTGGCTTTGGGTTTACCACGTCATCATCGCTGGGGTCGGTGATAACGTATTGCTTTCCGTCTCGACCACCAATAGCATTACGTCCGAAGCCTATAGGGCAATCCGCTAAGCGTTTACGGTTTTGTTGCCAGTTGGGGTCACAACGCCAGCAGTCATCTATGGGATTTCCTGTTCCGCATGAGAAAAAACCCAACTTTCTCCTCTCTGTTGCATTAAGAATGCTCCTACATAATAAACAACAACAGTTGATTACCAAATGGACGTAATATGATACTTGGCATTAATTTTCCATAAGTTCCAATATTCCTTGGGTATGCACACTAATATGGTTCCTATATTACTGAGAATGTAGAAAGTAAGTTTTGTGCCTCATCTGAGTTTAAGTATAAGTATGACTCAATTACTTCGTTTCATATTTTCATAACATGAGCACATTAATTAATTTATCTCATAGACTTTATATCTTTTTGGTGTAGTCTTTGTCCCAATTTCACTTTCATGATGTACTACTATATTATACATTCTACTCTTTAGTCAGACAAAAAAAAAACATTTTGCTCCATACAATTCCTATAAATGTTAATCAATGCTTATTAAAAAAGAAAAAAGGAAGAAAAATAACAGTACCGCAGTAGTACTATAGGTACATTGACATAAATGGCTGGTCTGAATAAATGCAGATTGAAGAAGTGGGCAGGTTGTGTTAGATAGAGTGTCGGTTGGGAAATACTAGGAGGTAGGAATTAATGAACTTCATAACCGCTTCATGTGTTATATGCCAGTCGGCTGGCCTGGTCATGGCCGAGTGAGCCTTAAGGTCTAAAATCTGCTTGACCTCATTGCCATTTGCCAGCCTGGGAGAAGCACACAATAGAACCGAACCAACCTTAAGGCCTGGCTAAACAGTATTAGCTGACTAGCTGTTAGATTTTTCTATCATAGGTTATGGAGCAACTTGATTTATACTATTATCTGAAATGGATTGGGAAATACATAGATTGGATTAAATATTACTCAGATCCAAAATGGGTAGATTAAAATAATCATCTTTGATCCATAATATTTAATGAAATTCTTTCAAGCCCATTAACTTAATTGCGTTTTTGTTGAAATAAAGTTACATAACATAGATTCCATTAATTTTTAATTTCCGGAAGATAATGTTAACAAAAATGTTGTTTGTGTACAGGCAATTTGATCGACGTGTACAATGGCGTGCAGTGTAAGATGGTGTGAGCACGAAGCATCATTGTAATGTTAATAGATGACTTCCTTCGTATGGAATTATGGGATAACCAAATCAAGCTAATACAAGATCAAATTATTTGGTTGATGTTTAAGTTTACTAAGGTAATCTTTTTAATGCCACATAGAAAAATGAGGTACGAGTAATATTGAGGGATTACCTTCAACTTTTTTAGGTGATGCAAGGTTACGTTTGTAATGTTCCCCTACCATCAAATTAATCATGTATTTTTGCATTGTTTTCTTTCTTTAGATATTACGTAAAGAATCCTAATTAGATATTCACATTATCGAAGGTGATCTTAATTGTATTTGCCAACCAAATAAAGTACCCCTTGATGTTAATTAGTGATTTCTTAATTTATGAAAAAATGCCGCGTATATATAAATTTCATCAGTTATAGTACTGTTCAATATTCATTAATCAACCCACATCTTTTCAAACTTATTCTTATTTTCCATAACGATATTCTACCGAGTACTCCGGTAGAAATAGGCATGCCCATCACATCATCCCTTGGTTTCGTTACTAGATACCGTATCTTTTTTTTTTATGCCAGAGGGAGGGGCTGGGGCAGTCTGGGAATCTGGGATAAACAAGATAGAAAAACTCGTTTTATGGAGTTTCGAACAAGATACTTCTCGTATAGAAAGTGAGTCGGCAACAAGCTGAACTGGGCCGCTTCATCCACTAGATACATCATCTAATTTCTACTTGTTTGCATAAGCCAAAATATGATAAAGGTTGAATTAGAAATACATAAAATGGGGTGAAATTATATTTAAATACGAAATACACTTCAAGTTTTTTTATTAATTCAAGTCAAAGAGCTCATTCCGTCAAACCTTTAATAATATCATCCAATTTAAATGGCTCTAGTGCTCTATGGAGTACCCATTCCCCCATTTATAATCATCATTTGAAACCCATGAATTCATGTCAATATCATGCCGCATTGGATTAGTGTTAAACAATCCGTTATATATATGCAATGAGCTTACTTAACTAGTTAACTAGGTTGTCTAACCTTCTTTTTGTCAAACAAAGCCTTAAAAGAAATCGCCAGTCAATCTACCCGAATTTAATTACCAAAGATGAGTACTTTCAAGTTTCAAGATTATGAAATCAACGGACAGAAGAAAATATGTACTGAGAATAATTACGAAGATTAATTTACACCTTACCAAACGCCCCTAAATGAAATAGAAATGCTTATATTGGAGAAATTAAAACATAGGAAGGAACTAACGTGTGAACCATCAATGCAATTGCCTCTGGATCTTCTACACCACCTCCCACGTGTTGAGGTTCGTTTGTTATCATTCTGCAAAAGCAAAGTAAATATTACTCCGTATTCCGCATTTATAGGCACTGTATATCTTATAACTCAAACTAGTGACTTAGGTGGGTGGCAAGGAGATTCCTAAATTTAGCAAAAATCTTTTTAATGTTAAATTTATGTAACAAATGTTGTAAATAAATTCTTTTTCTGGTCCAGCTATTCGTGGAGATCCTATGCATTTTTTTTTCATAATAACCTCTCATCACAGTTGTACGAATGACCTCCCGACCCTGCATGACTCGAGGTAGTTACTTCGGGCCTCTAGTATTGTTCTCACAAACCATCACGAGTCTTTATCGCGCCCTTAGCTTTGTCCTAAGGCGCCCTGAGAAACTTCCCAATGGGTCACCTATCTCATGACTACTCTCGTGCAAGCACGCGCGCTTAACTTTGGAGTTCTTGGGTAGCTCCCTTAGAAAGAGATGCATCTCTGTTGGTATGAGTAGTATTTCGTACTATTAATCCCTTTAAATTAATCTCGAGTATTACACCGTCACTATTTATTCATATTTATGTACTCGGTATATATGATGCAAAACTACTCGTATTTTATTTTATAACTTAATATCAATAACATGGATTCACCCTTTTTAGATTTTCACGTCACTCCTACGCATAAACTTAGTGTATGATTTCTCTAAAAAAAAGTCATTACTATGAAAGGGAGCAATTACAATGGTTTAGCCGAGTTTAGATGGCACAAATAAAATGCCTAAGGTTGGTTTGCAAATACTTAAAAAAAACATTTCTCAGCTTTTGGCTTAAAAAACACTTATTTTACCAAACACTAACAACTTTTATTTTTCTCGGCTTTCGTGTCAAAAGTGTTTTTACTTTTTCTATTACACAAAAAACACTTATTTTATCAAACAATACTAACTTTTACTTTTCAAAATCACTTTTTTCTCAAACACTATCAACTTTTATTTAATCACTTCTCCTCATTTCATTAAAAAAAGCACTTTTTTTAAAGCAAAAGTTGTTGCAAACAGACCCTAAAAAATGGTAAAAAGGAAAGATTTTTATACCAGACTTAAACGTAGATAGTACACTAGTACTCCGTATTACTTTAGACTTGAATAATAAAGAGCAGAGTCATAACATACACATAATCTTAAACTTTATTATACGTAGTACTACGTATTTGACCAGAGAATTTTAAATCCAAATATATATTTTGCATAAACTCTTTAAAATCTTATATGCAAGTGGCATAATTAGCTGCCAAATTAAAAAAAAATGTAGTTAATTTAATTTAATCTCTGCAAGAGTTAAATTTCATCCCACTTGTCATAATTTAACAAATAGGTAGATTAATAAATTACACTTGACATTAAAAGAAAAAACACTGTGAGCATAACTATCCTAAAGCCTATCCGCCATGGATGAATTCTTTCAAGCTCAGAAACCTTATCTATTGAGCTCTTAAAATCAACTACTGGAAAATAATTTATAGTCTCTGCACTAAGCTAATCGCAGTTGATCTGCAGAAAATAGTTAAACCGAATTGGAATGCCTGCAATTGACGGCGGTTCCGTTAGTTGAATTCAAGTACCTGTTGCTTAATGCAGAAACGAGATTGACAGACAGCCAAGCCAGAGCTAGAAATGAGATAAAACAGAGCTTTGGCCATGCCGCCGACGCCATTGGAGATCGAGCTCGAGTTCGCTCTAATGTATTTTTATCGTTGCGGTATTTATATGAGTATCATGCAGAGATCGAGAGAGGTAAATGTTGTGTATATGAAACTAAGAATGAAGAAAGAGGATTGGCTCTGAATCTCTGATGAACTGAAGAAGAGATCCTTTTTATATGAGGAAAGAGAACTTAAAATTCATTTCCCGCACCAGTGCGCCATGCTCATTTGCCTAACTACCAATATCAGAATATCTCACTAAACACTAACCCTGGTTATTTCTCTCAGTTAGCTTTACTACCTGCTATGGTAAGAGCTCTGTGTTACAAATGTCTCAAATGCTATGTGGTTTTTTAGATAATTGGATCTCTTCTAGAATATTATAATGGGGCATTTACTAGAACAAAAACAATGGCTTTTTTTTTTAAAATAGGACCAATTAATTTAAACATATTTAAATAGGACTTTTTCTCATATTTATGGTTGGACCAAAATACTCTCATTGTTGTCCTTGGAGTGCTGCCTGCTACATGCCGTCGACCACTTGCTGCCACCTCCGTTGGACCCTGTACGCGGTCTGAGTTTGGCATTGTATTTCAGGGTGCGGGTCTAAATTTAGAACCGTTTCCGGAATCCATATCCGCACTCGTTACATGATACAGAAAATGGGTTGGGTGTGGGTATTTTGGACCCGAGTACCCGACCCGCGACGATATAATTATAATTAAAATACACACACAATATACATAAAAATGTTTAAACGTAAAATAAGGAAGATAATCAAATATAAAAAAAATGTTTTAATAATTGTAGGTTTAGTTAGTGATTGGCCCACTATAATGGAATTTTATTTCTAATGAGTTACTGTTCTAGATCCTCCATGACTCTATAAGTTTACCAATATACAATATAACGTATATTGTTTACTTTAAAACGAGTAATGGAGAGAACAAAAAGGTTGGCTATGTACCACTCCCTATATTTGTTTGCACATGTCATTTAATTTTTTGGATATACCCGGCCCAGATTCAAGACCCGTCGGACCAAATCTGAAACATATGTTTAGAACCCGAATGGTAAATGGGTCCGGATCTGGACCAAAAATTACTCAACTGATATGGATATGGAATTTATAGTTCCGACCCATATTCGACCCGTTGACAGGCTTATCTATAAAGTTGTGAAATTCTAATTAAAGTTTAATTAAGAATTGATATTGAATGAATCTGTTTTATTCAAAAAAATCATTTTTGTAATTAACTTGGGATCGTTGGGGTATAATATTTAAATATTTGAAATCGAGAGACACTTCATTTTGTTACCGAGGTGCAAAAATGTCTTTTTCTCTCTCATCTTTTTCGACTTTTCTACATCTTTCCCAACTGATATTATAGAATATTATAGAATAGTCACCTTACTTTAATCTTTTTATATGTGGCACCTAGAATGTGTATCCGACTATCCGCCATTAGAAATGCTCTAGGATCATCATCTATAGAGAAAAGTCAGAGTTTTCATGGCAAAGGCTCAAAGGTTTGTCGCCCTTAGCTAGCAGCTAAGAATGTGTGGTCCTCATTGCAAGACTAAAGTTCGAATTTGAAAAGGTAAAAAATTTATACGAAGTATGGTCTTTTACGGAGTAACAATAAGTCTTTAACCCGTGGATTAGTTTTAAATTTGTCTTAGTTTTATAATCTTAGTAAGTAGTTAAAACTTAAAAGTATATGTCCATATGACATTGGACTTGAACAACTTTTACACAAGACGAATGGACTTCAAGTAAAAAGGTAAGAGTAAAAAGTTATTTGACTGAAAGTTACCAGATCAAACACTACTTGCATGAAAGGGTACATGCTTTTTCTATAAAGTGTTTCATAAAATCCCATCAGCCAAATAAATAAAATGTTACTTGTTCAATAAACAAAACAACAAAAATCGATCAGTTAATGCCATCAAACGCGGGATTTTGAATTTGGATAGCATCTTGTAAGTTAAAATGGTGCAAGATCTATTGGAATTTTCTAGTCCAAGTCTTGTGCTATTTGTATTGTTCTAAATTTGATTGATCTCTTTATCTAATCTAGCATGATCTATTTAACTCCCGATTTGAGTTAGACTCTTTCGGTTTTGTCTAATATGATATTATACATATTTTAGTTTTCAAGTACAAAGTGTCAAACTTTTTAAAGTTATTATTTAATGAAAATAAAATAATAACTATTATTATATAATTTGTCAGACAAAAAAGACAATCACTATGATAGTATCATAAAAAGTACGGAGTAATATAAAAGGCAAGGGATTTTTGTGATTTAATAGCTATATAAGTATTTAATAAATAATATAAATATTAATTGATAGATTTTTATAAATAATAAATTTACACATAATAATAACATATAAAGCCATATTAGTACTCCATGTCCCGAAAAGGTTGGCCAAAGCTGACTTTCACGCAAATTAATAAAGTAAAAACTGTGTGGTTGAAATTTGTGTAGACGAGAGAGAATTAACTTTAGCCACATATTCCCTACTTTAAATGGAAATGACAAATCTTTTTGAGACATCCAAAAAAAGAAAATTTGGTCAACCTTTTCGTGACGAAGGGAATAATAAAATACACGCATAAAAAATTACAAAAGAAAAATACACGCATAAAAGCATACTAGATCTGAAGAGACAAAACTTAAATGATCATATCATACCAAACTTCAACAAACCAAACCAGGGCATCATAGACCGGACCTGAGAAGTTTAGACTAAATTGACCAAAAAAATCTATTCAGCCATTCAGGTAAACATACCTCTGCCCAAAGCTCAATAATAGCAATAATACTATATATTGTATAATAGTGATCAAGTATTATGTGGTCTTATCTAATGTTATCTGATCAAGTCTATTTAACTATGCTATTGTCAAATGTTATGTGTTTATGTCTGATCAACTTTGTTCTGCAGGTTCGATTAGAATTAGTCTAATCCGGTCTAAGATCAAAACAAGTCCAAAGGAAATAATAGGACCAAATATGATGAAATTAAAAGTAAGCACAAAAAAAGTAACCAGTTATAGTAACACTATTCTAATTCACACTATTATAGTTTCTAATTTCGAACTATTGTTATATACTCTAATGGAGCATAAGTTATTAGTGCATATTGCTGCTACTTTTTGCAAGTGTAAAATATCATCAAGAATCAACCCATGTGAGCAGGGCAACGATTTAGAAGAATATTTATATGCGGCACATTTAACGCTAGCTTACATAAGATTGCACGGAACACCATTTGGTAAATTGATGATTATGACTTATGAGATCTAAGCTATCCTAGTAGAGAATATATACCGATAGTAGAATATAATAATGTTATTAAAAAAAAAAGTACTAGGTATATAATAATGTGAATGATGGAATTAAAGAGTTAATTAGCCGTGGAAATGGATGGGGAAGCACGTGGTCGTGAGATGGCAGTGCATTTCTTCGCGCTGCTCGCTCGGGCTGAGTTTGATTGTCGATAGTGTGTTTTGGACCTACACAAAAAGGGCTGTCCGCCCCAGCCAGCCCGCCCGCCTAAGTGTGCGGGTCTAGACATGTATATTTAACTACTGGGCCGGATTGGGACCAGCCTTCGTAACACTAGAATCTTTCCAAATGGAAAGTAGGTGAAATTATGAATAGTGATAGAGGATATAAATTATTGAGGGTATGATGGGAAGATAATAAAATAGTGTGGTGGAATAAAGGATAAATCCAAAAAAGTAGGTGGAATAGTGTATTATTTTTAAAATTATTGAGGCTATGATGGGAAGGTTTAGAAATGAAAAGATTTTTTAGTTACGGATAAAAAAGAAAAGTGGGAAGATCTTTCCGTTACGGAGGTAGTATTTATAGAAATTACTTCAAATAGGACCAAAACAATGACAAAGATTCAAAATAGGACTTGTATGTTTTTTATTCCAAAATAGGACCATATTAGTCCTATTGGAAACATACATATTTCTTCATTCCATTCTTACTCCTCCTTTAAATATGAATAAAACATAATCAAAAGTCATAATAAAATGTTTCATTCATAATAAATTCGAAAAAAAATTCAAAAATTCCTAGAAAAATAATTAAAAAATTAAAAAAAAAATTGTAAAATAAAAAATAAAAGAAATATAATTTTTTTTCAAATTAATAAAAAATAGTAAAACTCCATTAAAAAAATTTAAAAAAATATGGATGCCTCCCCCACTGTTTATACTACCTCCCTGCACCATCAGCTCCGATCGGTGTAAAAAATGCCATCTTTTTTCTTAAATTCCAAAAAAATGGCATAATTCTCTATGAGAATGCCAACATTTTCATTCTGCTAACTTGAATCCTTTTGACCTTTGCCAAAAATATGGCATTCGTAATTTTTTTGGCATTTTTCCCCCCGGTGACAGGAGGTGGTGGTGCCGCTTCCCTGCACCACCACCTCCGACCGTTAAAAACAAATGCCATATTTCCTAAAAACTGCCATTTTTTCTGAAAATGCCAAAAATATGGCATAATTCTCTTAGAGAATGCCAACATTTTTATTCTGTCATCTTCAATCATTCTGACTTATGTCAAAAATATGGAATTCATAATAAATTTAGCATTTTTTTCCCCCAAATGACTGGAGGTGGTGGTGTTGGGGCGGCAAAGGCGGCGGTGACAAAACAAAATTGAATTTTTTATTTATTTTCAATTTTTTTTCAATTTTTTTTTAATTTATTAGTATGTAAAAAAAATTTATTAATTTTTTGGTATATTTTACGAAAATTTATTATTTTTTATCCCGTATTATTTTATTATGAATTAAAACATTCCAATAGGTATAAGGGTATATTTGTCCAAGACACACATAATTAGTCCTATGGAAGCGTAGTTTTTTTTTGTCCTGTTTGTGCAAAGTGAGTGACTTTTAGTCCTATTTTTGATAATTAACCCTAATATTTATCATAAGAACGTGAGAGCATACCTATTTAACACATTGTGATGCACAATGGAGATCATATGATACATTCTTAACTTTGATAAAACTAAGTCAATCAAATAATTGTGGTGACATTTTGATAAATATTATGCTTAACGCAAAAAATTGCAATGAGCGAGCTTCATTGTGCATATAGTGATGCGAAGACGTAGAGCCTAATTACCACTACGGACTATTTTGATAAATATTATGCTTAACATACGG